GGTGGCGCAATTGGTTAGCGCGTACGACTGTTAATCGTGAGGTTGAGAGTTCGATCCTCTCCCTGGACGCATTTGGTCTCTTTTTGCTTGATCCAGCGAGCCCACTAGCTTTGCTGTCCTATACTGCTTGTCTGTTGCTCTGTACTACCTGGCAGAATAGAGTCGGATTGCTCGACTGCTGGTCTGATCGACCTCGACCGGTTCTGTTCCTGTGATCTTCGGGTCAAGTGTGTCATATAGACACTGCCCATTTCTAAGTCATCCCTAATGTGTCGGATTGGAGCACATATCTTGTCTCTCCCTCATCTGACCTTTCGACATCATCCTTGACATATCTTTGTCGGGGGGATTTAGTGGAAGTAAAGGACAAAAGACCCTTAGTTAGGGTTTCGGGAAACCGTCACTTGAGGCCCCTCAGAAACCACTTGCCGCCAGAGTATCGCCTACTAATACTTCCGAGTTTTCAGACGTGTTGATTTCTTCTCCAATTCCCAATTATCTTATGTAAGAAATAGGTCTATTGCTGCTGTGAGCGGATTTTTGATGTACTTTCTTACCGTATGGTTGATGACTATATAAACGGGCTGCGACAGCCTGACCGAAGTACTCGCCGAGCACTGTGCATATTTACGCAGTAAAAACTTACAACATCGACTCTTTCCCTCTGACTCGAGATCTTGACTATGGCTTCACGGCTTATGATGTCTTATCTTATACTATCGCCTCTGAAGTCTAGACTTTTAGCTTTCGCAGTTTTTCCGTGGTTGAACTTGTCGATGATTCCATGCTTGCATACCAGGAGTAATATGCTACTTTCAATAACACACCACCTCTCTGCACCTACTTTCATAGGTGTTGTACGCTGGGCCGGGTATATGCTAAAGCATTAGAAGCGTGCGAGGGCATGCCCACCCATGGTGTTATACATAATACATAAACACACTGCATCTAGCACCACGAACCCATCTCACAAGCACAGTAAATAATCCGGCGTCCGTCGTTGCCTTGTCGGTTTCCCAGTGCGGAGAGAAGGATCGGACGGCATACTATTTTCAAATCAGCACATTCTCCGATAATTTAAAGGACCTTTAAGAGACCATTGGTAGTTCAGAGAGTCATCGATCTCCATAGTGGCCGCGTGATTGCCACAGCGGTAGCAGTAGTTCGGAGCCATATCAGAACTCGTCAGCACAAACAATCCATCATGTCGCTCTAACGAGACTATACCAGAGAAGATAGTAACCATATACCTCCCATGCGACCACAGATACCCATCCACCACCATCGGATGCGCCCTCGCCGCCAGCGCAAGCCCTTCCGATGATTAAACGCCTCCAAGATATTCAGCCCAAAGGTGTACCCAGCCCCGCGGGAAATTCTCCCCACCCACATCTCTCATCAAATTCACTCCAAAGTAGGTCACATATGGGGCCCTCATGCGGTGGCTCCTGGAAGCAATCCAGTACACGGATATTATCCAGCGTATCGACCGACGGACTCAGGCACCCATGGAGGAAGAATATGCGATTATGGATCAGAATCGTTAGGGGCAGGTGGTCGAAGAGATCCGTGAAGAGGTTCAGACCCCCGCGCGTTGCGGTACTTACGCAGGCATTTGTCGTAGAGCCCGTAGGCCTGGGTGATCTGGCGAGATTTGTGATTTTCGCGGAGGATCGTGATGCGTTGGGGGTAGCTAGATTTGGCGACCAGGAGGGAGACGGATTCGATGGAATGTCAGCTGCGGTCGACGTAGTCACCTGCTCATAGGGTGTGGTGTTAGTGAGGATTTTCTCCTTCCCATGCGGGGTCTGGCATTTCACCCATGAAGAGGTAGTTCGTGTCTGGAAATGGTCCGCTTATTCGGAATAGTTTGATCAGGTCGTGGTATTGGCGGTGGATATCGCCGCAGACGGTCACTGGGCATGTCTGCAGGGATGGTCAGTGGCTGTCATGCCCACACTTATATTGGCCATTATGAATAATTGGAACGACGTTGGCTTCATCCTGTGCTATCTTCCTTGCCTGGAGTGGGATGGCGTCAACGGATTCCAAGGGACTCTAAGTTTGTTTATCTTTGGCAATGGCAGTACTGTACCAGACTACACACACGCTCTACCATTACTTCCGATAATGTTCTGCATTTATCAAGTCTTCAATCCATCCATCAACAGTCCTGATGGGCTAGTGGCTGACTTCCCCTGATTTGGGCAGTTTCATGGACTTATTTGTGTCATTGGGTATCATGTTTTCTCCAAACATTAAGAAGTAATACCACAAGCTCAGGGGTATTTACACACATGTCTTTGAAGCGTTCAGTGACGTTGGCGGTGGCGACATGCAGTAAGCAATTGCTCCACCTCTAATGAGTTAACAGGAGCTGAACTCCGACACCTGCTCGGAATTTCGAGCCACAGGTCCGACTTGCCCTTCCAAATAAGTTAAATTGCCCTCATTGGAAGTAAAGCCAGTATTAATCTAGGAAGAAATCCATATCCAGCGTTAATATGGTTACCATGGCGTCAGAATAATGGATATGGATGCTAAGAAAATAATAAAGACAGAAGAAGGAGAACAACCAGAAGAAGATATCTCCTTTTGCATTCACTTTCCATTTTATGTTCGTCCATCTATCCACAAGACTTTCTCGCCTCAGTTGTCTCTCTTTTCAATATCGCTGGCCCTTAATCAACCTCTCTCCAGACTTAAGCAGTACTTAATACGGTGTTCATATCATGGTTGATCTAGACAGCATAGACCTAGACTCTCTGATAGAGAGATTACTTGAGGTTTGAGGCTCCAGACCCGGAAAACTGGTCAGTATCCACGAGTCGGAGATCGCATATCTCTGCCGCACCGCGCGCGAGATCTGCATCTCCCAACCCATTCTCCTCAAGCTCGAAGCCTCCATCAAGGTATAACAACCCTGGCACGCCAACCCCTTCTCCCGTCCTTCCCGCACTAACAGCACAACCAGATATGCGGCGATATCCATGGCCAGTACTACGACCTCCTGCACCTCTTCAAATACAGCGGCTACCCACCCGAAGCCAACTACCTCTTCCTGGGCGACTACGTCGACCGCGGCAAGCAGTCGATCGAATGCATCTGCCTGCTCCTCGCGTACAAGATCGAATACTCGGAGAACTTCTTTATCCTGCGCGGAAACCACGAGTGCGCATCCATCAACCGCCCCTACGACTTCTACGACGAGTGCAAGCGCCGGTACAGCGTTAAGGTCTGGAATACGTTCATCGAGTGCTTCAACTGCCTGCCCATCGCGGCGATCATCGACTACAAGATCTTCGGCGCATGGCGGTCTCAGTCCCGATCTGAACTCGATGGAGCAGATTCGTCGCATTATGCGGCCGACGGATGTACACAAGCCTTCATATCTCCTTCCTTGGGCTCTGGGCGCTAAATCTAAAATTTTGGATCCCCGACTGCAGTCCACTGTCTGATCTCCTCTGGGCCGATCCAGATAAAGGCATCACGGGTTGGGGTGAGAACGATCGCGGGGTATCGTTTTACATTCGGGCCCGATATCGTCAGCCGGATCACTCAGAAGCACGATATCGATCTGATCTGCCGCACGCATCAGTGTGTGGAAGACGGGTATGAGTTCTTCGCCAAGCGGCATTGGTGACGCTGGTCGGTGCGCCCAATTATCGTGGGGAGTTTGAAAATTCGGGCGCCATGATGAGTGTTGATGAGAGCTTGCTCTGCTTGTTCCAGGTAAGCTTCTGCCTCTGCCTATCTTGTGTTGAGTGCTGAAATGAAAAAGCGGATTGATTTGTCTGAGTAGCTCATGAAGCCGGCTGAGAAACGAAAGCCGCTCTTCAGGAAGCAGTCGGCTAGTCATTTCAAGCAATAGCCTAGTAGGTGATTGACAATACTTTTGTGGTATGACGAGTGCGTCCTGTATAGTTTCCCTTTCCTTTTTTTTTTTTTTTTTGCTCCTGTTCTCTAAGCAGACGAATTGAGCGCAGATGCGCGTTGCAGTAGAAAAGGGGATCTATAAACACGTATTCTGTCCACTGTTTTGTCCGTCATTGCGTAGGGCATGTGTTCTTCGAGATCCTCTATCGGTCCACGCTTCTCTGAAAAGAGGCTTTTACTCGAGCTCACTTATCCAGTCTCTGATAAGAGTAGCCAACACTTCTCCGCTGCCCAGTCTCATAAACGCATTCTGCCACGACAGACGTTGTCCCAAATCATACTTTCGCTGATGCTGATGCTTCGCAGTCACTCCGACCATTAGAATATGGCACCTCAGGTCGAGGAACACATGTCTTTAGGCCATAGTCATAAGTTTTGATAACTAGTAGGGAGACTTCAGTGCGTATGTGATTGCTGATACGCATGTATGATAGTTGGCCTTCCTGTCTTTCTTTCAAGCTTCTAGAAACTGGTCATTATAAATCTATTGGTCTCCATTGTTTCACCCGCGAGAAGCCGAGATTTACATTTTCCTTCTCGGGGGAGGGGGGTTACTCAAGTGATTGTAATGTCCATTCACTCACTACGAAGCCTTTAGAACTTACTTCCCTGCAATTGGCCATGAACTAGTTTCTACAACTGTAGAACAACCCGTGACTGGTGTTAGCGTTACTGGTTTGAGTACAGGTCGGGTCAGTTAGGGCTTTGCCGTTCAAACCTTTTCATATGAGCAACGAAGTCACGAGGTAGCATGTGATTAGTGAGACACCTCTTCTTACCAACAATATATGTCAAGTGCAGTTTCTTCTCACATAGTCGCTATCTTCTCCACTGAATGATTCTAGTTCATACGTAGCTGTGCTTCGAAGGTGGCCCGCACATCGGGTGTGGTAGTATATCTGCAAGACTCTTGCACAGGAAATTCTTCTCCTCCAGTCGAAAGTTGCCTAGTGGCATGAAAGTAACGTACTGAATGTCTGGCTACGACCGATTTGTTACTCGGCTTTGCATCAAGTGCCCCATGTAAGACAAGGCCATTTTCAATTCTCGGGAGACCTGAAATAGCTTTGTTTCGCGGTTATCTAACCTCCGGGTCATCGTGCATGCTCTGACCTAGCGTTACACTCCCGACGACAGTCTTGCTTCCCTGTCTCATGGGAAGGCATGTTGGATAAGGGGAAATCATGGAACGAATATCAGGCGTAACTGGCGGTTGACTGCCATATATTATCGATCCGATTGCATGAGGTATGCAAACTGGAATGGGGTCCAGGTTCAATGTCCTCAGCGCACTCTTGCGGAATGTCTAACGTACATTGGGAGACCTCAAACAACGAATTGATACCCGACTGATTAATAAGAAAAAATCCAAAGAGAGGTTCATAGCGAGGAAAATACATTTCATGGATTTGAGAGGCATAGGTTGGGCGGCAGGTGAGATGGGGTGCAAACAAGCAAAAACCAAAAAGAAAGGCCGTCCAGGGAGAGGATCGAACTCTCAACCTCACGATTAACAGTCGTACGCGCTAACCAATTGCGCCACCCAGACGTGCTTCTTGAATTTATGTCACGTACAACACGTTATATAGACATGGCACGCTAAGCGCCACTTTTTAGACAGCTCCCATGGTTCACCAAACCTAGTTCATATCAGATTGCCGGGAGAGATCGAACCACGATCAATGAAGTTCTCGACTACAATATCAACATTCTGCCACATTATGCTGACGTCATTCAATGGATCACAGTGCTTCTCGGGGTAAAATACTCTGCTATTGGGTGGCGGCTTATAATAGGCGAGAAATGAGTGCGTCTCGTTTAATTAGGAATCCTACTTCGTTCATTGGGTTCGTTGTATTCGAGTAGCGGCACCAATGTAAGGAGCCTTGTTCTGATGGGTTAGACGGATCATACGGATGATATTGTTTTGCCGGTGAAGTTTTTGTAGGTCTTGAGATTCCGATTCTTAGCTCCGCGATATGTGTTGTCAATCGACGCCATCATGTAATTTGTTTTGGGAATGCAGAGGATATGCAGCCTGAATACTCCCCGGTACTGTATCTTTATCAACATGGCAGAAAATAGCCATCTGTTGTGCACAAGTTTGAATATGTGTCGACGGACTAACGTTATCCCTTTTTGTTCAGCCATATCTACCTCGGCAAAGGACTCCCTGTCCGGTCAGCATCGCACAATTAAGGCTATCGGCATCTATGGAGTATGGTGACATCGAAATACTGATGGCAGGTCCATCCACATATGACATGTTGAAGTGTTCGTTTCGAATAAATACTTGCATTTATCAATGTCAGGATATACAGATAATCTATATGACCATCATCGTTCGACCCTGCTGCTCGCAGGCGGCAGCTCCACTCCCGACTCCACATGCCGCCGGCGGTCCAGCCACTGATCCTGGTCCACAATCCCCATATGACGACTCTAAAAATACCAAAAAGAGAAGATGACGTCCTAGGAGAGGATCGAACTCTCAACCTCACGATTAACAGTCGTACGCGCTAACCAATTGCGCCACCAAGACGTACTTGTTGTGCTGCCGGCCTCAGAAAATGCGTTATATTCCATGTTGAAGTCAAAAAGAGTGAGAGACTGAAAATAAGTCTTGTGCTGCAGGGATTACGGTAGATTCGATCCAACTTCCATGATTCCTAGTAGCAACAATTCGTGATGAAGCTTGGAAGACATTCATGATTAAGTCAACTGCAACCCTCTATACGTGGGACTGCGATACAAGCACAAATGATGCTTTCTTGAGAGGTATACATGATGTCTCGATATATAATCACCCGGGGTGGCTATCCACGTTCGATGTATGCACACTGCATACGACTCTACGGGAGAATCAATCTCGGACAGATAGACACAGCTTCCGAAGGTCTCTTACCCGTTGAAGCAAAATGGAAGCAATACTCCAGCTCAGAAAGTATTATACGGTACCTAGAGTGTCGGAAACATGAACACCGGGTGGGGGCCAGCTGATTCACACGAGAAGGCCCGCTCTGCGTCCAAGTGATGAACTCTGGCTGACACATAGACTTTGAAGACTCGTTGAAAAATCGTCCTTCACCAAGGTCCAGGCACCATCAGATTTCCGTCCGGAGATTGTCCTGTTTTTTACCATAGAAGCCCTACAGAGACACAGACCCTGGCTACATGGTACTAAATAGAAGACGCATTGCGCCGACTGGCTATCGGAAGAAAAGTGTACATAAACCCCAGAACACGGGCAGTGGACATTGCACGTGGCCCCGCACCGTGTCCCACAGTACGAACGATTATAAAAAACATCTCCAGGATATGTACATGTATCTTCCGAAGCACTGCATGTATCGGATTTTTTTTTTCAGATCCACCCGGGCGGTGCCTCGTTCTTGATAGGTACACCGCTCTCTACCATACCAAGAGACACCTGCCCGTTACGCTGATCCCGCAGAATACGATGACTCTTGAAGTGCTGGAGGTTGCGCTTGACCCAGCGCTTGACTTCCTGGTCATCCATTCTATCCGCTTGCTCCAGTATCGGGCGCGTTTCCTCCGAGACGACCTGCGAGACTGTCTGCCAGTAATTACCGATGATAGAGTGGTCTGTCTGCTTGATAAACTGGATGATGATGATCGTGACGATGACGAGATGGGTTGCAACGAGTACCGTGCCCAAAATGAAGCCGGTCCATTGGGCCGGGAGGGACTCGACGGTCGAGAATGCAGTCGTCGATGCTGCTGTCGCTTGGAACTTGGCAAACTGGTCGTAATAACACATTTGGTATATCCTTGTGAGCAGAGCCTGGATAGCCAGAGCCGGGCTGTCGGTCGCGTTCAAAGTGTCGTGAAACAAATCCACGTGAGTCTGATGTGCGGCTGCGTCAGCGAATGCGGTATCCCTCTTGGAGAAGATGGCGCCTGGATCGGAAGTTAAGTTACTGTACGACATCAAAAATGTGGGCAGGGACACGCGGATCGCCATGAAAAACCCTGTCATTGCACCGTTGATATCTCCGGTCCTGTAGTTCTTCACCGAGGCCACCTGTCCCCACTGGGATCTCGGCTCCAGTGCGAGCACCCCCCTGCGATCAAAGCTATCCCGGGTACGTGAGGCGCCCAGCTGGCGTCGCGAGGCTTCCGTGTCGTACCCCTGCGTGTAATTGTTCCAGGTCAGCTTCGGCTCTTGGTTGTCCGACGAGCTGTTCATCCCGGCAGTGATGGTTTGGCTGGCCAGGTTGGTGAGGCAGGCTGACACCCGCAACGCATCGGCACCGGATGCATTTCTCGCCATCGACCAAGGGCCGTCGGTCTGCACCGCGTGGAGATCGATAGTCGTTGCGAAGCCTTGGTTAAGGACCGCCATCTCAGAGACGAGGTCAATGATGATGAACAACTGCGAAGCGTCGGGATATCCGCCCGGCTGAACTAGAGGATTTTCTTGCAGCACCGTCCAGTTTAATATCCCGGTGCTAGTGAGGCATATGCCGGTTTCATTTGTGGTGCTGGACTCCCACACATATGGTCTGGGTACTTTGCAGCTGAATTGTATATGTGGCTCTGTCTTCTCATTAAACAGCAACGGATATGACAGATTATCCGTGGGGATTATGCCGGACAGCTGTGCATCATCACCAGTAGACAAAGCGAGGGTCAGGTTCTGCAGCGGCGCGCTTGCGCAAACGACACGGTGGTCCATGATAGGGACCGGGCCACGGAACTTTCGCAAGGTCAATCGCTGTGCCTCCTCATCGAAAGGAAGAAAAGCTCGGAACGTATGCCCGGTATCATGGTACCCTGTTGCCTCCTTGAAGGGCTCCGATAGCTCGCCAAAGGTCCAGCTCGCTGCAGGGGGCATAGTCCACCAGCCATTCGCAGCCATATAACCGCTGTCGATGAGCTTGACGTTCGTGGAGTTATCGCTCTGGGTGAAGGTACCATCGGTGAAGTCAGAGAGGTAGATCGTAGAAAGGAACTGGGAGACAGTAGTCACGAGGACTTCGGCGACGACGAGTGTGTAGATGAATGGCGGCAGATGAGGCCGAAAATCGGTCGCGGTGAACAGGCTACTTGGTGCCACTTTAACCGCTCGCAGGATGGAGTACAACGGTCCGTGGAATAGTGGAATACCTCTGGTCTCCAGGACGATCCCTGCGACCATCGCTGTAGCAAGACCGGCCTGGAAGGATACCACGGCTCGGATAGTGGTGGTGCATATCGTGACCAGTCGAGTCGCCCAGTCTGCATCGACAATGCGAAACCAGTATGCCTCTGGCTCTTCCCCCTCAATCGCCTTTATTGACTCCCACCAAAAAAGAACCAGGAATGTGATGGCTAGAAGTAACATAGGTGGGCCGAGGAAAATCGCTATGACACCCGTGGTATCAACTTTCTGACACAAACTCTTCCGCCTGAATGAGGCCTTTCCTCCCTGAGAGTCGTCATCATTGCCTTTCTTGTCTGTGCTGGGAGAGCCCGAGGGCTCGTTCTTTGACTTCCTGATAGTGAAAAGACCCATCTCGTACCGTGCAGTACATAAGAAGACAACCTTGGATTCAAATTCGTTCGAAGCGAGTCATCTCAGAATGAGTTATCGCCGCAGCAGATGGATTATCTTGGTGGTTTTGTTTCCCAAGATTTGGCAGTGCAATAAATATCAGTTTCTAATAACGAATTTTGAGATACGTGGGAAGATGGCGGCTTTTGGATGAATTGGGGGACCGAGTCGCTCATACATCTATTAACCGCCGGGGCACTGCCAAGCGTTATTCTAGAGCGAACCATTGTTCCAGCCTGTGATATCTCACCCCAACTACAGACTTATACAATTTGAGCTCTAGCCTGCTTCAACAAGCGCGCTGAGATACTATTTCGGGCTGCAAGAGTCTAGTCATATCTTGTCCTCTCAGGCTCTGGAGTTCCTATGCACGAGCAGGCCCGCTTGTCTCCGTATAGCTTAGTACTCATTGCCACGATAACTCCTGTAACCCTTTCATACTTTCTCGAGAGAACAAGAGATAAGTTAAGCCAGTGAAGCCAAAGCACTGGTGATATTGACTACAAGGAACTAATTGGACCATGTCTTGGGTTGGGATAGCAGTAAACCCCAAAATTGGCAACAAAGCTTGTGATTTGATTTCAAGTGCCTAAAGTATATAACACACACTGCAAAACCACAAATCAGCAAGTGGTCTGGGTGGCGCAATTGGTTAGCGCGTACGACTGTTAATCGTGAGGTTGAGAGTTCGATCCTCTCCCTGGACGCTTTCTTTTTTTTCAACCTGTGACCTACAGTCGTGGGTATAGTGTTAAATTCGAGGTTTTCCGTGCCCCACAAGGCTGGCGGCAACATTGCCGAAGTCGGGAAACCGAGATCTCTATCCCAGGGATCTAGATTGGCCCGCGGTTCTGTCGCGGGTGTTCTCGGTGGCTCTTACCCCTGTGATCCGCATTTTTGAATTAAGCTTACAAGATCGCAGAATGCGACCTCAAATATCCTTGTCGAGCATGTTTATAAGCTGTCTCCATGAATGCTAGTCGCCTCATAATCAAGCGATTGAATTGAGCCAATACACTTGGCTGAAAGCTGTGTTTCCATAGTATATCTTAATTCGAAGCCCACTCCCTTCGCCAAGATCATGCTTGACAAGAACGGAGTCGGTGTATATTCTGATTTGGGTCATTAAGTTGATATAAATTACTACTATTAATCGATACTATAGGGTATCGTAGAAGAGGCACCTGACCGCGAACTAGCCCTACTCCAAAGTCTATGTATGCAATTGAATGGAGTGTCAGAGGCCGTTATCTCGAAAAACCATTGAGCTTCATAGAGTGCATCGACATGTGTAGGCTAAGGCCTGCCTTAGCCATAATCTAGCGTCTCGAGTCAGACCCACCTCATAGCCACGAACGACCTTGTAGGGCCTTACCTGCAGTCATCTGAATACTCTTTTCAGTAAATCGGACTTATCTCGGCACATACTGCCAGACCATACATGATAGAACAAGTGGTCCCTTTGGAGCACGTCTTTACCATCCCTACTGTGGGGGAACCCTCTGAACATTGCCAAATTTGGTTCCCTCGACGGAGGTTAGATTTGAGGGCTTTTCAAGAAAATTGTGGCCCAGGATGAACTCACCACGACAAGTGTAACCCTTGGAGAGGCAGAACATACCCAGGCTCATAGAGGCGGCGGTACTAGCGAGTGAACCAATGATATAAAGAGTCGGAAAGCGCATTTTAAAGAACGTGATTGGTATAATCAAATAAGAGAATGGCTGATGCAGCAGTTTCCAGCACTTGCGGGCAAAAATGAGGGACTTGGATGTAGCACACCACATACCACAGTGACAGGGTTGAGTCTCTTTATACAACCAGATATTCAACAATCGGGTACATTCCCATCAACCACGGGCAGCGAGCTATATCTCACAGACCTCCCCTCAACCCATATCACAATCTTCCCACAGCATGCCCTTGAGGTCCATGCGCGAGCCACGGGCGTCATCAGGCACCACAGAACAAAGAACAGTGCACCAGGCGAGACTAAGTCCCCAAGAGCCTCACTAGTCGATAGGTTGCGTGTCTGAGGGCACTAACAGCATTGACTTCGTAAGATGTGGAGATAGACTTTTCCGGTGACAGCTTCGGTGGTTGTATGGTGCAGGGGATCCCTGGAAGCGCCAGGATGCGAGATTCCCATGGCAAGCGGTGAGGGCAAAACCTTATCGGACAGTCGACTTTATCTCGTTGATAGGTTCGCTAAAGACAGCCGGGATGCGACACGTCATGCTGCCAAGCGGTAAGATGGCCGGCCGAGCTTCCCCGCAACAGCACCCAATGGCCCTTGGGTTTGGGGCCATGAGGTAGGAATGGAGGTCCGTGGTCAATCCTAACGGGTGAGGAGAGATATAATTAGAGCTATAACATTAGGATTAAGAGATATATCTCATGATGAGAAGCAAATAAACAATGGCCAAGGAGGAAGTAAACAACAATTCGGAGACGAGGAAGGTAAACAAATCATAGTCAGTAGACAAAGTCGCATAAATGATTTCTACAGGGAGGGTCCGAGTACGTTGGGCGCATCAACAACAACCAAAAACACAATAGAATTCTCCAATGCTGACCATGTTTCATGATGATCTGGACTTGTCGAGTATGATCTTTCCCATTCTATGCAATATCATGAGGGTTTCGATTCCCGTTCCGCTATCTGCCCCAATCAATACCCTAATCAGAGGCCTTGAACAAATGTTTTGTAAGGATTGGAGACTCTACATTTTCAAATATTCACCTTAAGCGCAAGGGATTGGGAAACTACCGAAGGTCCAGGTTGATGCCATAGTATTGATCCCACTCAGGCCCTTCCTGTCTTCTCCTTCGCCGTGCCTCTTTCCGGAGACACCATATCGCCTTCACTCTTTTTATTCACCTTATTTCTTGACACAACTATTGATGATTAATTTTGCATCGTTGGCTGCACCAGAATTTGCTTGTGGGAACCCCCCGTCAAACAAGGACCAATCTTCCCCTTCAACAGTTCCAATCTTTCCCTACCCACCCAGCGCGACGTGTACAACCCAGATTCGCACGAGCAACTCATCACAGCGTCAAGAGAAACCTTGCCATAAATAGGCAGCAGGGATGCATTTCAGACTCGCTCCGTCTATCAAAACAGAGGCCATGGATGGTGATTGCAAGCTTGCTCCACCAGATGGATCAGCAGTTCTTCCTTTCCAACAAGAGTTTACAGAGGATTTTTGTTATCTTCGACACCATCTCCCAGACGGCTTGGCTCGATCCGTGCGCTCTATTATGCATATTGTGCTCAAGCTGATGTCTCTTTCCCAGCATACACCCAACGCATATGATCGCATTGGTGGGATGTCGCATAGATAAGTTGTATCCGACCATCAACCTTAGCGCCCCTATTGCCAAGCCCTTCGAGTATCACTCTGTATATGGGACCCCAAACTCAGGTGTCATGGGAACTGCGCTTGAATCTCGCGTAGGCATCCGAAACCTTTACTGTATACAATGGACAGCTCTCCAAATGCGTGGCCTGAAACTTTCCCAGCAACGCCGCCCAAGAACTCCTTGGATGGGGGCTTTCCTTGCACCTTTCCTTGCACCCCCCATAGTCCCATACAACGACGGAGCAAGAACCAGGTGAAGTACAGTGCACCGTCTAACAGAGCAACGCCCTGAACAAACCATAACGGCACCACCAAGACAGAACCCAAACCACCCCACCCCTACACCGACGCTACACACCATACACCAAACAGCGAACAGCAAACCCAACCCCAACCCCAGTCCAGCCCAACCAGTAGCACCCACTCCCCACTCACGCCAACACCGCAGTCAACAACCCCCACTCAATCGCGCGCAACCCTCCCTCCAGCACCCGATCCCGCTCGAAGTCCAAGCGCTCGAGCACCAGCGCCTGGAAATCCGGAAAGCTGGCCTGACCGAACAACGCCGCCGTCTCGAACCCCGGCGGATACGCCCCGGCATCGGCCCAATCCACCAGCCACACTTGCCCGTCCCCATCCAGCACCAGGTTCCGGGGACTGATGTCCTGATGCACGAGCACAAACTCCCCGAGCCGGAACGCGGGGACATCCGGCCCCGCCTTGCGGCACTGCTTACAGACCGCCAGCTTACGGTTGAACCAGCCCTCGAAGGCGGCGACACTCGCGAACGGGCCGGCGCTGTAGTGCGTGAAGAAGCGGCCGCGGCAGGGCCATTTGCTGTTGGTATCACTGCCAGTGTCACTGCCAGTATCATTACCATTGGCGGTGTCATTACCGTTACCGTTCCCCTTACCAATAGGCCCCGGGGGCCCCGGGAGATGGATGCGCTGCAAGGCGGCCACCATCTCGGCGACCTGGCCCGCGATCTCCGTCTTCTGGTCGCCGGGCAGGCTGTCCCAGCAGGTGTCGAGGGGTCGGCCGGGGATGTAGTCCATGACGAGGTAGCCCATCGTGCCGAAGTATTTGGTGTCGTCGGGGATTTGGAACGCGCGGTGGGACGCGGGGCGCGCGGATGGGGTGGTCGGGCTGCGAGGCGGCGAGGAGGCGGAGGGCGGCGGCTTCGGGGGGCAGGATGTTGCCCCCGCCCTTGAGGACGAGGGTTTGGGACAGCCGGACGACGGTGGTTTGGCCGAGGTCGTGCAGGGCCGGAGCCGTGTAGAGCAGGGCGGCGAGGGTCTCGTTCGTGACGGTGGAGAGGGGGATGTTGTCTAGCGGGAAGGGTCGGTCGGTGGCGCGGCTGGTTGGCTGCGTGGGGGCGTTGAGTGGCCGGTTTTTGGGGGGGGGAGGGGTGCAGTGGAGGGTTGGTCTTACGTCCACGTATGGGGATAGGATTCCCTCCATTTTTATCTGGTACTAGATTACTGTGGATGGGAAGGACGGGGTTCAGTGAAAAGGTGGATGGATGGGCGTGGTGGGAGGCACGCGTTCAAATAAATCCTGTAGTTCAGCGAGGAAGAGCTTACTGCGGCAGTATTAAGCGCCCATGTGCTAGGCTGAAGAGTGGGATACATACAGTAAGGTACCTAGTCACTAAAGCGCGCAGGATGATTGGGTCCCTCCAATGTACGGCATTGGTGGTGATATCTTTGGCTGAAACCCAGTCTTATTGTTCTGGCATCAGGGTTTAAAAACACAGGAAAATAGAGAATTATCGAGTATATTGAGTATACTTCACGGGACAGGACTGTCTGTATACGCGGATACTCGATATAACGCAGGTCTGACTGTCATGCTTAGAGACCATGTAGCGCCTATTCTACGACTTCATAATACGAACAAGGAAAGTATAAAAGCCGTACTAATGGGCAGACGGGACTGCAGATCATTGACCATACCGTCCAGCCAGCCCACAACTGAGATACACCGATTTATACATAAATCCTATTCCTACCAGCCATACCACGGCCACAAAAGAAAAGTACATCGAAGGAGAGGGAGGGAATATGCGAGAACGCCGCAAAGATGGAGAGGAGGACACGGATATCACAAGAAGGAAGTCTAGTTGGATTATAACGGGGGAGACAAAAACGTTTAGAACAGGTTCCAGCCACGACTTCTCGGTTCCCGAGCACCCACCGGACGATCCGTGTTGCCGCGCTTGCCGCGGCCGTCGAGCTGCCGGATGCTCTCGATCTTCTGCAGCGCCAGTTCGAGGAGCTCCTTCCGGCGGATGACGTCGAGGTGGCTGCGGATGCGCGGGTCTTCGCGGGCGAAGCGCTCGACCTCCGCGTCGGAGAGGTGGCGGCCGAGGCGCATGTCGAGCTCGCGGGGGAAGTTGTAGTAGAATTCGGAGAGGAGTTCGACGTTGAGGAAGAGCACGGCGGTCGACGTGAGCTTGTCGGCGACGACGTCCAGGAAGACCTCCGGGCAGTAGTATTTGTTCTTCTGGGAGGCACATTGCTTGGAGCGGACGGCGAGGAGGCGCATCTTGATAATGTCGGCGCGGTCGCGGAGGAAGACACTTTCACGACCTGATACATTCGTTAGCCTCATTTACGCACAATGTAAGGAAAGGGGGAGCATACCTCTGGCTAATAGGTCGGCACTAAAGCCGCCAGCACCGCCCGCGCCGTCACCCTCTAACACCACCTCGCCCTTTCTGACCTTGTCAACAAACGACATGACATCCTTGAGTTTCCGTCTTCCGACAGAATCTTCCACGTGCTTGAAAGCGGACTCGCACGCCTTGAGCTCGTCCTTGAGAACCTTGCTGACGTTCTCCCGGCCCTTGGACCATTCAGGGTCCTCGACCTCGATTTCGTATTTGTAAGGTTTGATGCAGTTCTCGACCTGGTCGCTGGTGCTGAAGAACCGATCATTCAAAATGCTGTTGCAGGCATCCACAATCTGCTTCTGGGCGTATGGGTGGCTCGCAAAGGTCGAGTCGGTCAACAACCGGTCAACATGGTTTTGGATTGCATTGGCGACAACTGTCGTAGCAAGTCTACCGATTCCGAGCTTAGTCAAGGAAGAGGTTGAGGCATCAAGCTTGCGATGCCAGTAGAGAGACTCGGGATCCGCCTTGGGCAGATCGCTGAGAGGATCCAACTCCGGCATTGGCGCCGTGAGGTCTTCGATCGGCTTATTCCAGTATCTCTGCGCCAGAATATCCATCACGCGCTGGTCGAGTTCGCGCTTCAGCATCTCGCGGACCTGGGGGCGACCAAAGCTTTCCGCAAACGCCTTGAAGGAGTGCTTGAAGCTGTCCAGGCTCTCGGCCAGGTAGGATTCCGCGCTGAGGGGACGATCGTTGTATTGCACCTTGAACTCGTAAGTGGCTTCCTCCAGCTCTTGGCTGATAGCATCCCTAGTACCTGCTAGGCTCGATGCCATCGTCTGCTCAAGAACATGCATAAGCTTGTTGCGCAATGTGTTGACCCCGACCGACACGTCCGACTGCGGTCCGAATTCGGATTGGTGCTGAGAGAAGTAGGCGTTCTCGTTCTTCAAAATGGCGCCCGTGATGTTGCCGCTGCCCCGGGAGAAGAGAGCCGTCGTCTGAGGGATCCGGCTGACCACGCCAACATAGCCTAGGCGGAGAGGGTATTTCGTGTCGGATAGAATGCTGTGGCCCCTGTCAGGATCCACCAGGTCCATCTTCGTAATGACACCAATTGTCCGCTCGCCCCTGGGATCCACCCGACGGCTGGCTCGGAGAGCAGTGGAGTTGGCGAGATCGACATCTGCCGCCGAGATGGCCAAAATAACGTTCGGTGGCTGAATGTATTTATCACAGAGGTCCGAGATCTTCTGTTTCAGCTGAGGCGGTTGGTCCCGCCCAGCGACCTGGATATAGCCAGGCAGATCGATGAGCGAAAGGTCAGGCACATGCGGCGAGTAGATGGTGAGCTGAATGGGATCGTCCGAAACACAGTCCCTCTCCGGCACCGCCAGATTCAAGTCCGTCAAGGTGCGCTGGATCTGTGAGAAGTCGGTAATCTTGCCAAGTCCCAGCACGGGGAACTCGCCATACTCCGCCTGCGCGTTCGGGGTGTTGACGAGGGTGAGCTCAATCGGCCGGCGGGTGACCATGTTCGACCCCTTGGGAAGGAACTCATGCCCGACAATCGCCTCCAAAACCGAACTCTTCCCCGATGACTGCGAACCAATGACAACGATCGAGGGCAGCGTGAGGGTGTTCGACTGGCCGACGCTCTGCAGGATGTTGCGGATCTCGATCATTTTCCGCGTGAGCAGCATCATCTGGTCGTCCTCCGCAATCTGCCGGCCCGCGCGAAGATCCTCCTCGTCCGACTGATCGTACCCCAGCGCACCGGCGGTGGTCGCTCCAGCGGCGGCCGCGCCGACCCGGCTCTCCTTCGGACCTTTTCCATCCCCACCACCCCCTGAGCCCCCATTGTCCGACTGCGCGTCCTCGTTCAACCGCAAAATCTTCTGCAACCATTCCGGCAAGTCAACATCCTCCGTCGTCTTCTGCCACCCGCGCTGCGTCTGCTCCGCCATGTTCTGAATCTCCTGGAATAAACTCGAGGCCGCACCGCCCGCCGTTTCGCCCGCCCGTTTGAAGATATCGATAGCATAGCTTCCCGCCTCTAAAGCAAACCCACAGCACGTCAGTCAGCCACCAACAAGTAACCAGGGTAGAAAACAACTCACGCGCAGCTTGATACTGAATGTAAGCAGCGCCCGCCAGCACGGCTCCGCCAAACATAGCCGGCAGACGGACGAGCTTCAGGGCCAGCTTAGGGAGGATGCGGTGGAAGGAGATGGCCCGCACAGCAGGCACATTGTGGATGGCGTTGGCACCGACAGGCCAAGGCCGTCGCCGTAAGGCCGCGCTGCCATCGGAACGCAGGAGGCCGCCGGTGCGGGCAGCAGCGTTGTGTACATGGCGGGCCAGATGACCCGTCCGCAGGAGCGGAACCAGACGGTGGGAGAGGATCCTCCCGCTCATGATGGCCGAAATATCATATACGCTTTGGATTTCTCGGACGCGAGTTTCAGTAGATGTGGTTCATATCCCGGAGGGGTGTGGTAGCAACGGGATTGTTGAGGTTTATCGTGGGATAGTGGCGAGAGTGTGCAACAGACACAAAAAAGATGAGAGAGAAATAGCTAGAAGGGGAAGAAAGAGAAGCTCTGAGAAGGGAAGGAGGAGAAGATCATGTCATCCAGCAATGATTGTCCCGCGGCGGCGAATCCCCTCCGAGCCGGTCCTGATCCCGTGACCTGCACTGCACTGCTGGCCGCTTCGCCCGCCGTATAAAATACGGTGTGAGTCACGTGTAGTTTAGCAAGCATTCCACTCGACAATAACCAAATAATCGGATCGAAATTCGTCATCTGGACGATTTGTTGGTCTAGATTTGAAGTAACCTCAAGCCGGACGAGTCTGAGCTTTTTCTTTCTTGTCGCAAATACAAATAAAGGGGTAAATCCCAGTTGTGCGGGCGTGCCTTGGGCTGGAAGAAACGCCTCCGTTGTCGGATCAATCAAAGCTGTGACTTGTGACTCTGCACGCTGTCTGTCGGGCCCAGACCGACTTTACATACAACCTTCCACCTCCCAACGCTGATATCACTTTGGGATCTTGCACGGCAGTAGGGACGCTGGGAGTCTTTACTTTATTGTGCACGTTGATACAAATACAAAATGTGTCGCTTTCTAGTAAGTCTAAGTTTAGAGCTGTTTGCCTCCTATGTCTGTCGCAGCATGCTGACCGCTTCCCCATCAGGTATACAAAGGACGACATGAGATTCGTCTCAGCAAGCTGGTTACCGAACCCAGTCACTCCATCCTGACCCAGTCGTACGATTCGCGTCTCAGACTGGTACGTCTGCTTGCTTTCCGTTGTTCAAGCAAAGAAAGCTCATCAAGCAAGAGGGCTCCCTCACTCCTGCCTTTCCCCTCCCCTCTCCCCCTACATTCCAACCCCCCATCTCCCCCTCATCCCCTCCAACCACTACCCTTCTAACCAAGAACCAGGACACCCGCCGCCCGGTGAACGGCGACGGCTTCGGAGTGGGGTTCTACACGGACCCGAAACTCGGGCCGGACCCGTGCATCTTCACCTCGACGCTGCCCGCCTGGAACTGCGAGAACCTGGAGCGGCTGGCGTCGAAGACGTGCTCGAACCTCATCTTCGCGCACGTGCGGGCCACAACGGAGGGGACGCTCTCCGACACGAACTGCCACCCGTTCCAGCACCGGACGCTGATGTGGATGCACAACGGCAACGTGGGCGGGTGGCAGTACATCAAGCGGGCGCTGGCCGACTCGCTGGCCGACAAGTGGTACCTGGGGGTGAAGGGCGGGACGGACAGCGAGTGGGCGTTCGCGCTGTTCCTCGACCTTCTGGCCAAGGAGGGCGTCGACCCCAG